TAGGCCCTTGTGGGACTTTGAATCTCAGTGAGTTAGGGAAGCCTTGGAGAGTTCTAAGAAGAACAGAGACATGTATTATAAGAGGACTTGTATTTTAAGAGGACCATTTTAGCTGCTGTGTCAAGACAAGGCTCTGACAAAGGGCAAGGGTAGAAGCAGAGAATCCTGTTAAGAGGCTGCTGTGATAATCCGGGTATGAGATGATGGTGGCTGGCACCAAAGTAAATGTGGAAATGGTAAGAAACAGTCCAATTCTTGATATACTTTAAAGGTCTGGCTGATAGAATTTTCTGATGGACTGGCTACAAAGGGTGAAAGAATGAAATAAGTCAAAGATTTTTGGCCTGAATAGTTGGAAGAATGAGATTGACATTTTTCAAGATGGGAAAGGCTTTGGGAAGATTGGGAGTTCTGTTATGAATGTGGTTAAATTCAAGATGCTTATTAACTATCTGATTCAAGGAATGGAGTAGGAAAGGTGTACACGTCTAGAATTTAGAGGAGAGGTCTGAGCTGGTCACATACAGTTGGCAGCTTTAGAAGATATATAGATAATACTTAACACCATGAGACTAGACATAATAATAGGGTGTGAATGTAGACAGAGAAGAGGTCTGAGGATTGAACTTGGATCTCTCTGATGTTAAGAGGATGGGAAGATTAGGGGGAAATCAGCATATAATTCCGAGAAGGAAAAACAGGTGAAGTAAGGGCAGAACTAAGAAAGAACAGAGTCCCAGAAGCCAAGTGATCATAATGGTTCAAAGATAAGAGACAATCCAATGCTGCAGACAGACCAAACGAAACAGCACCAGATTGGCCACTGGGTTCTGTAACATGGAAATCATGGTGGATTCAACAAGAGATACTTTGATGCCGTAACGGAGGAGGAAGCCTGAATGGAGTGGATTCAAGAGGGAATGGGAAGACAAGAATGAGGAGACAATAGGTAAAAGGCAACTCTTTTGAAGAGTTTTGCTGAAATATAAAAGGAGACAAGCTAGAGTTATGAGAAATGGGAGAAGAAGGCATTTGTCTAGGTTTGTAGTATAGGAGATATTGATGACGTTTTCCTAGAAAATATAAGCCAAACTAGTACAGTGCACTTATTCACCTTGGTTTACTTAGTTTACTATTTCAAAAAGTCCCACAGACACTATTCTATTCTGAAAGGGTGAAAGGCTGGATTAGCCCTTTCTTTAAACTCCAAAAAGAGCTATTCTATTCTCTTTTCATTAGTGACTCACAGAAAATAAAGCACAGTCATTAGCCCTATGCATAAATATGGAGTTACCTGCAAGGCTGCCACAACTGCAAAACCATCTCACTGTCATCATATTTAATGACAAAAATATCTCCTTGAACTGCATGGCAGGTAATATCAGGGTCTTATATTTGAAGTGCTATATTATGTCTTCATCTTCTTGATAAGAGAATTCCAAGAAGCGTTACCTCTTCCTGACCACAATACAGTTCTACCATTATTTACCTGCATATGGAAAGACAAGATACCTTCTTTAAAAAGTTTCTTCTACAGAGGAACCCCAGCTATTCTATCTAACTTGATTCTCCCTTTTAATGCGCTGAAGCGTGAATGGCTTTCGATCATATGCATCTCTAATTAAGAATTTTTATACTAGAGTAATTACCGTAACTATTTCTGTTAATAACAATCTCAACATCTTCGTGATGGATTGTACTATTTGTTCATAATTATTTGCCCATGCTTCTCTGTAGGTATAGCATACTTCTTTGTCCCATTATCTTTGGGACAAAGATAGCTATGTGACTTGCTTTGGCTACTTGAATGTGAGCAGCTGTGATATAAGCCATATTTAAGAAAAAGCCTAAAATATGCTTCTGTGGTTTAGCTCTATGCCCCCTTTGTGAGCATATGCCCTCTTCCATGAGAACCACATGTCCTACATGCTAGACACGTCTTCAATCTGGGCTCTGGAATGAGATGACATACAGCACCTGGTCAAGCCCAAGGAGCCAGTTGAGCCCAGAATGGCTGCAGCTGGCTGACGACAGCCTCATGTACCATGAGCCAGGTATGAGTGTTCCCAGTTTTAAGCCACTGTGAGTTTAGAATTGTTTGTTCCTGAAGCAAAAATCTGACTGATATATTCTTTTATTAGACTGTTGTATTCCTCAAGTGAAAGGACCATATTTATTCTTTATGATATGTCCTCATACCTAGCACAATGCTCTGAAATGATAGACCCCCAATAAACACAGAAGGGTAAGATTCATTATGTCCCTTGTAGCTTGGTTGGCTAAAGTTTAGAATCAATTCATAGTTCTTATCACTGACACATTAGTCGCACCAACATGATAAGCTCCTTAATATCAACGATCAAAGTCATTTTCATCCTGCTTTCTCATTCCTTGATTTTAGTTTATTGAATTATGGCTGATTGACCAAGAAAATCCAAATAATTTAGGCTTCATGAGAGGGGAATTGGGTCTTGGCTATCATAATATTGTTTCTATTCCTAGATGTCCCAAAAGGATTAAGGCCAAGTAGAGAGACTCTTCTTTCAATGTGCTTGGGTGGCTTAGCAATATGTTCACTTATGGGTTTAACACAGGCTGCAAACTTTTCCCAAGAGACCTCACTGCAAATCAACAACAACAACAACAAAACAGGCTAACACTTGCTTCATTTTCCAGTAAATTCCCCTACCTTGTGCAGAGACCATTCTAGGCATTGTGCAGGAATCAAAGACAATATAAGGCACAGTTCTGGGCTTCAAAGGCCTTGTAATGTAATCGAAGAGACAGGATATATGTGTAAAAGCCTAAGATAATCAAGGGTTAATTTTTTACAAGAGGTCGTGTGGTATGGTAGGAAAGAGTTGGTTTGAAAGACAGGAGACCTGGTTCTAGTCCTGCTCTGCTGCTGGTTAATTAAGTTACTTTGGGAAGATCTTTTTACTATTCTGTGCACATTAAAAAGGACTGACCAGGTTACTATAAAGCCCCTCACATTACTACGGTTTTGTGACTCTAAGAGATATCACCAAGCAGTATAATGTCACCAAGTACTCCACCTCTGGTGCAGGTGGTAAAGGCTGTTCAGAGCACCTCTTTGTTTTCCTGTCCCCTGGCCCCATCCCCAACCCTAGTTTGCTTTCAGCCTGGTCATAAGGATCTCCTCTGCCTTGAGTCTTGGGCTGGATCTGATAGAGCTGACTTGAGAGTGTAAAGTCTCAGCAAACAAGTCCAGAATTTGCTCAGATACCATAAATTGAACAAGGAGAAGAAGCATAAGTTTTCCAAAAGCTGACTTAGCCTCCAGGAACAATTTAGGCTGAGGTTTACTGGGGCTGATGCAGGTGCCCTAAGCTTCTGAGTTCAGTGCCCGGGCCTCATCCATAATGGGACAGGCTTCTGGAGGCACAGTGGAAGGGGAGCTGTCCATGTGACTGCTATCCTAATAAACCATATCTCTCTAACACCCATCCACCTAACTGTGATTGCTGAATACCCTCCACCCCGTGGATGAAACTAGTTCTCATAATGACAGGTGAAGTCCATAAATAGGGCTTCTGAGGCCAGAGATGGCCCTTCTGATATGAAAGGAGGAGGGCACTGGAAGAAATGGCAAAATAGAACTTAAAGAACTTTTAGACCATCCACTGATGCTTTTCTGATTGTCCTTTGGAAAATACATAAAGTAGAGATAATCTCATTGGCTAAAATACCCTGTGAGCCTTGGGGATTAGCTGTCTCTGCTCACGTGGCTCTTCTGCTGCAAATACACTTAAATTCCCAGCTCAGGGCCTTGCAGGGATGGCTCAGATGGCCACGGGACTGTTTTCTCTGTGTGGGCTGTCTTCATTTGGCTATGTGACTGCTGTGATATTTTTCTAGATGTTTACATAAGCTGGGGCCGCAGTGTGTTTTAATGGACTCACTTCAGAGTTGGGATTTTTAAAGCAGAGGAATTCATTTAAGGAAAAACCTCCATTTATGTGAAATCAGGTTCCTTTGCAAAGCGCTCTTGGCAATTCAGTGAAGGAAAGCAGAAGGTGGTGACCACACAGTGTTGTAAACAAGGATAATGGCTTTACTTACTCGGGACTCCGGACACCAGCCGCAAGGGGCGCAGCACGCGAAACGCCCTCAGAGCCTTCACATCAAATCCAGCCCCTTTCCCTCCTAGAGCATTGGCCCCATCAGCTTTGGTTGCTTGTTCTAAAATTGCACTAAAAAGCCTAGAAGAGAGAAAGGAGAGAAGGAGCTGTCAGGACAGTGTTTCTTTGCCCAGCTGGGCTCTGAATTCTCTGAAGGAAGCCTGGGATAGCAGAGTTTGCAGCTGTCTCCAGCCCAGGAGCAAGTGCCAGGTGTGTGCCTTGGAGGGTCAGTGGCCATCAAAGTTGACAGTCCATCAGTGTGGACTCCTCCCAAGGGCATAACCACTAGAGAGATCTGAGAGAGGTGACGGGCAGGCTCTTTGCCATCATAAAACAGAGAACACATCTGGCTTTGTGTGAGCTAGGCAGCCCTGGACAGAATGTAAAGCAAAGAAAGTTTGCTACCAGAGCCCCCGTCCCTTTGGGGTACCCTCGGCCCCCTCTGTGGTATCTTAGCTCCGGCCTTCATGTGGCCTGCAACCACATTTTCTCTCTTCTTTGTCCACCTCCTTCCTCCTAGCACTCTCTCTCTTTGATTTGTATCTGGGCACAAATAAATGATACTAAAGAAATCTACTTTGGGCTGGCACATAACTGATATTCAACAGAAATATGTTGAACAAATGAACGAATGATTAAATGGTTAAATGAGTAAGTTTCTAGCAGGAGCAAAACCACACATTAAGGCATATGATTGAGACATGGAGATTTCAGCTCTGCCACTGTGTTTAAGTTTGTATATTCATTCCTCCAACAAATAAGAACATCTACTATGCACCAGGTATTGTTCTAGACACTGGGGCTATAGCAAAATAGAAAGAATCCTATTCCTCCTAGAGTTTATATTCTAATGAGGGAGTCAGACAATAAACCAAGTAATCAGTTAATGTAGATCACATTTAGAGAGTGATAAGTTCTAAGAAGACAAATGCAGCAAGAAAAGGGATTCTGCAGTGGTCAGGGTGAGAGGCCTTCCTGTCTGATATCAAAAGTCTAGGAAAGGAACTTGCTCCTTAGCTGACATTTAAGCAGAGGCCTAAAGAAAGTGCAGGAATGGACACGGAGCTCGCTGCTGGGACTGTTCCAGGCAGAGGAAACAGTTGATGCAAAGGGACTGAGGGAGGAGCATGGGAGTGCATTAGAGGGACAAGTGGCAGGGCGGCTGGAGCAAAGCAGGGAAATGGAGTCCAGTGGTAGATGAAGTTGGAGAGGAAGGAGGGGACCCTATCAGGTGCTTGGTTTTCTCTCTGAGTTGGAAGCCATTGGAGGGTTTTGAACAGGACAGTGACATAACCTGACTAAAGTTTTAAAAGAATGACTCTGATGCTGTGGGGAGAATAGCCTGTAGTGGGACAAGAACACAGCAGGCTGCTGTATTAATCCAGATGAAGAGGCTTAGACCAGATGGTAGTGTTGGAGATGGTGAGAAATGGTCGGATTCTGGATTTATTTTAAGATAGAGGTGATGGGATAGGCTGATGAACTGGATGTGAGGTGTGAGAAGGACAGAATAATAAAAGATCATTCCAACAGTTTTGGCTTGAGCAACTGGAAGGATGAGGTATGATGGAATGGACATCAAGTGTTCTGTTTTGAACTTTTTAAAGTTTGAATTATTGTTTGGACATCTGAATAGATATCCTGAGTAGGATCTATTGAGTCTAGAGTTCTGAGAGATGGGGAGTCCAGGCTGGAGACAAAAAATTGGTACTTGTATAGATTGTATTAAAGTCAAATCCGATGAGACTGCCTAGCAGGCCAGTGTAGAAAGAGAAGACATGATAGGACTGAGCCTTGGGCTCCCAAATTGAGGAGTCAAGGAGAGGAGAAACCACTAAGTGGCTGGAATGGTGGGCTGTGAAGGAAGTAGTCGTGAGAAGATACTGGTTAACTGCATCAAGTGCTGCAGGTACAAGGATGGGCCACTGTCCACTGGATTTTGCAACATAAAGGCCACTGAGACCTTGAAAACAGGTTTTGGTGGCATGATGGGGACAAAAGCCTAATAGATATACATTTGAGAGAGGATAGGAAGAGAAATTGAAGACAGGGAGAACAGACAGCTCTATCCAATAGAAACATAATGCAAGCCACAAATATGAACCACATGTGTAAATTAAATTTTCGAGTAGCCACATTAAAAAAGAAAAAAAAAGTGAAATTAACTGTGATAATATATTTTATTTAATCCTGCATAACCAAAATATTATCATTTCACCTGTAGTAAACATAAATAATTATTAATGAGATATTTATCACTCTGTGTTTTATTCTAAATCTTTGAAATCTACTGTGCATTTTACACATACAGCATATCTCAATTCAGATTAGCCACATTTGAGGTACTGAATGGCCACATGTGGCTGGTGGCTACTGTGCAGACAACTCCTCTGAGGAATTTTGCTCTAAAAGAGAGTAGAGGTAAAATGGTGGTTACTGGAAGGAGATACGGAATCAAGAGTTTTGTTTATTTTTAAATGGAGATACGACTGCATTTTTATATGTGATGAGAATCATCTAACAGAGACAGACAATTTGATGATGCAGATGCTAGAGGGAACAATGACTGGAAGGACTGATGTCCTTCAGTAGGCAGGAAGGGGACCTAATGCACATTTAGGGGTGCTGGACTTAGGTAGAGGCAGGGAGGTTTACCATAGTTCAGGTAGGAAGGTACATTTTAGGGGCACAAATGTGGTTGTGGGAAAGCATGAAAAGTCTTTTCTGATTGCATCTGTTTTCCCAGGGAAACAGGTAGCAAGGTCATCAGATGAAAACATGAAAGGGGAGGAGGTACTGGAAGTTTGAAGGGAAAGGCAAAGATACGAAAGAATCATCAAGGAAAGTGGAAGAGTGAATAGTAGGCATGTAGAAG